TATTATTATTATTATTATTATTATTATTATTATTGTCATTAAGTGTCTATTATTTTAAATGCTTGTATTATTAAAATATATTATTGTTTGTATTATATATATATAATGTCCGGTTTTATTTTTAATCCGTATTGCCGTCGCGATCGTATTCGAACCTTTTTCCAAACTAGTCTTATGTTTAAATCTCAGCCCAATTTATTAAACATTTCAGCCCAAATGATATTAAGGGATGGCCCAATCTTTGGTTATTTTAGCCCAAAGGTATTAAGGCCCAAATCAATGTAGAGGAGCCGCAGATTTTTCCTTTTTCTTCTTCTCCCACCGCGCGACCAAGTCCATCTTCTTTATCTGATAAAAATTTTGGTTGCGATTCTTTTGGGTGAAATATCTCGCACGATCGCACGTTCAATCGATCGTCCTTATATCTTGGCAGAAGAGTTCCTAGAACCATTCAATCCTTCTCTTTACTTCACCCGCACCAATTCAATCCTCCATCTTTTCTCTCTGTTCAAAGTGCGTTCCTTCAAAATTCCGGTGAACAGCCATTATTTCCGGCGGAGTCCTCATCGGCGTCTCACCGAGAAACCCTCTCAGTCGCGCAGCAGAAGTCGGCCGACCCCAGCAACCGCGTCGCGAAGCTGCAACCATCCGCCATCGTTACTGGCGAAAGCTCCGTTCGCGTGTCACCGGCTCTCACTGTTCTTTCCGACGATACCTTCATCAGAGTACCTGTTCGTTGACGACGTTCGCACAACAGAGTCGGCGTGCCGTTGAGATTTAGCAACCTACAGTTTCCGCGTTTTGAAGGTTCCGAGTCCCAAAGCCGTCCGTCCGACCCGCTGTCGGCCCCGTTTCCCGTTCGATCACTTGTAGTTTCCCGAAGTCGGGTAACTTATCCGAATCCTCTCTTTATTGCGGTCGTTTTGATATATTACATGTTATATATATCGTGTGTTCGGTTTACCGAAAATTGATTTGAAGTCGGATTGTTTTTGGTTCACTTAATTGTTTGTGTGTATATTTTGTTTATTCGTGGATTTTTGGAACTCTCGATTTTATAAACGTGAATATCGTTGTGTTACTGTGAGAAATGTGCATAAGTTCGGAGTCTCGTTCTGTTGTTTCGAGTCGTCGTTAGGTTGTTCGGGTCATTCGAACTCCCGGTCGTCCTCTTTACTTTTATTTTTGGTTGTTCCGTTTTCGAGCCAAAACCGTTAATAAAAACATGTTTCGGAACTCTGAAAATTATGCTATTTTGATAATATCTCGAATCTGGTTGTCGTTGGTGATGTCATCGTCGAGTTTGGGGGAAATTCTGGCAGTCTGCTAGCAATTTCTCAGCTCCTGTTATTAGGTCCTCGGTTCTGTTCTTTTGTTTCAAATCGCAGGCCTTGTTGTTATTCAGTACTATTTGATTTCAATGAAGTTTGCATCCAGGCAGTTGGCGCAATGTTCTTCCAAGTGCATATTTGTGTGTGTGGTTCTGTGTTCGAATCCCACTCCCTACAACCTATTTTATTTATTTTGCCCCACAACCAGCATCTACCTTGGCCCAATATTAGCAGCCCATTTTGTTCGGCCCAGAAACCACTCCCTCAGCCCGATCTTCTCCCAGCAATCCACAGCCCGTGAGCCCGATTGTTGGCCCGCGAGCCCTTGAGCAGCCCGCGTGGCCTTAGCCTTTTGAGCTTTGGGCCAAGTTTTCTGGCCCAATTTCGCAGCCCAGAGTGCTAGGAACTAGCCAGCGTGACCCAGTTAACTTTTTGGCCCAATTTTGTGTTCCGAAAGCCGTTTTTCGTACCGATTTCAATTTTAAAAATATTTTCAAAATAATAAAATTTTAGAAAAATTATTTGATGTCTCGAAACTTTAATTTTGTCCTCCGAGTCATATTTTTCAAAAATGAGAGAGTTCCAAGTCCACGAAAAATCTGATTAAAACCCCTAAGACTTAATTTTTATTAAGTATGGGTTTTATGTTAATTTCTAGTAGTGAGATATATTGTTGATATATTATCTCGCTTAAATGTAGGTGTTTGAGGAATCGAGCCCTCGACCTACGTGCTTGCTTTTGCGTGATATTCTTCCCTGATTTTCCAAGTGGGTTTAATATAAAATTTGCTATGTTATAATTGAGGTAAGATTTTTATACTTTATGTCTATGAATGTATGTGTGAGTCATGAGACGGTGCCTAGTGGTGGGCGATCTCCAACCTTATGGTGGGTTGACTCATTTTAGCCTAGTTGATGGGCCGTGACCGTTGTTTTTGCACTTCGGCACGACTGTACTCCCGCTGACGAGTTTGGGCTTACCCCTGGCGGCTTATGATAGGTGTGCACATGAGTATAGTGATGAGTAGGAGAATAGTTTGATATGTCTTTTGGCCATGTACTTGCATATGACTCTAGTATAGGTTCCTTACCAATATATTATGCATAGTGGTGAGCACCTCGTTTATATTTGTGCTCATCCCCACCTGCTCTTTATTGATGCAGGATAAGCACGTGTTGGGCATGACGGGATTGAAGACGAGTGGGTGGTCAAATGTTATTTTGCTTTTATTTGCTTCCGCACGCTTGATATTGTGTTGAGATTAATTGACATTGTTGAATTTCCTATTGTCCTTGGATTTTGTTAAACGGTTGAACCATGTGGATTATTTTATTCAGTTTGGATAATGTTGAAAATCCTATTTCTAGATATGATGACATCTAGTTCTGGAACTTGAATTATGCTGAGTATTCTCGTTTCCTTTATGCTGATTTGTATTTAACCTGGAAATATTCTCGAGTAGCGCCAAAGTTTTATAAAATCGATAAATGGTTTTCGAAATTTTAAAGCAAGATTTTTTGATAAATCCGGAATTGTCTTTAAAAATTTTTTGGGGCGTTACAGTTTGGTATCAGAGTCAGTCTGCGTTTCTGTAGACTGGTTTAATTGTGATTAAGTGATTATATGAATTGATCTTATGTTTGACCACTCGTCTTCGTCATGCCGCACTGCTTAAAGGTATGTTCTTTTATAAGTATCGTTGAATACTTGAGATATGTATTGCTGATATTTGGGGTTAGGGTTTTATCCACCTTTGGTTTAAATCGAACTCTTGTGATAGGGAGTTCAATTGTATCTTTAGAAGCTCTTCGTTGTGAGTTTTCGATTGGTGTTTTAATTGAGCGTCTGCAGCAGTTTTCTCGCTACAAGTTTTCGTTCAGTGTCCTCAAGGTAGGACCATTTGTGATCTATCTCGCAAGAGAAAGGTTGAAAACCGAGTAAATCCTTATTGAAAGCGATTACCCAGAGAGTTATACCCAGTCAATGTGGACCTGGAGTGGTGTTTAGGTGCCACGTCCTGATCGTTGATCGACCCCGTTGTTAGGGGGAAAATCTAAATGCGCATCACTGTCACGACTCTCGAGGATGGTTATACCGCGAGAGAAGTGATAGTGGTTAAGTCTCGTGCATTAAGTTAAGCGGAAGTCATGAAGGCTGACATAGAAGACGACGATATCGTCCAAGGAATGGCTGGACTCATCAGACATCGTGTGAACATTCTTTCCCGTGAATGGAAGGCACGCTATTGCGTTAAGGTACGAAAATGTGTGGATTATATGCTGATATTCATGCCTAGTGGATTGGTTTAATATGCTTATGATCATTTAAATATGATTAAGTCTCGATGTGTTTAGTATGCAAATTCATTATTTTTCGCACCTTTGTATCATGATCAGTATGCTTCCAAGCCTGTGGTTTTAAAGTTAAATTCTTCTTGAGAAATATAGCATGTTTCTTATGTTTTCAGCGAGTTTCGAAATTCTGTAAATCCGATCTAAATTGAGGGAGATATGGTTTTTACAAAAAGATTGTGCAAACAATTTTCTGAAAACCCGACAACATATTGTATAAAATGTTAATTTGTTTATGCCTGAATGTGCTCATATGCGAACATGGTCTTCATGAGAAATGTAACCTTATGCGTTAACTCCTTGTTAGTTTTCGAAAAAAAAAAATGTCTAAAGCAAGAAATAATTCAATTTTACCGAGGCTCTGTAAGTTGTATAGTCATGCTCTCGAACTGCAAGCATGTTTCAAATGTTTGATGAATAAACTATGATCAATTGCCTTTATTTGCCATACATGCCTTCATGTAAATTGCAGCTTTTACTTATTAGCTTATGATTGGTCTTGGAATCATGTCATTTGGAGTTCATATGGATTTTATATGATTTTTGCAAAGTGGTAGTATGCCCAGTTTTTATGAAGCATTATCTGATTTTGAAATGCAAATGTTTGTCCTACTTTGGTGTACCAAATGTGTTCAAATGTGCAATTAATCAACATAAAAGTTGTAGTCTTGCATATGTAGTTTCTGTAGGATTTGAGTTTGCATGATTTGAAATTATGTAGCTCAAGATTTTGATGATTTACTAAGGTGTTGTAAGTGTGTTCACAGAAATTCTGGCAGTATTCATGATCTGAATGTTTTGTGTTAAAACTTATTGATAATGTCATTATTTGCCAATGGGATCTTCAGCAAAGTTGTATAAACTGAGTTATCTTTCTGTAGGTTTTTGAATCTCATTAAAATCAGGTTTGTAGCTCCAGTTATTTGGTAATTGCTGATGTCTGGTCAGTGACATATTCTCAGTTTTTGACTGTTTCTCTGTAATGAATGTTTGTTGATTTATCTCCTGGTAAATGACCTTACTTGTTTTCAAGTTCTTCATATGTTTTGTAGCTACATAATTTAGAATTTATATGTATCTAGAATCATGCTTATTCTGTTTATGCAAGACATACCTGATTTTATAATATTGGTTGTGTGCCATTTTCGCAACTAGTGTTATGTTTCAAAAATGAGTTTTCACCTTTATTCTGCATGGCTACATGACTTGTATGTCCTAAATGTTTGATGTTATATTGTTGACTGGAAACACTTACGAGAAAAGCTTCACGCTGAGATCTCGAAGTGAGGAAGCTAGAGGCAGTATAAGCGAGTTGGGCTCGTTTATGACTGCTGATGATTAGCTACCTGTAAGAGCTGATGTGACGGCCGACGTGGTTAGTCGAAAGAGTCAAACGAGCTAATTATTTTATTTATACGGCAATGATCGCTGAGTTAGGATTATTCCTATCTGGGGATGTCAATATTAAATCTCTCGAAATTTTATTCCTATTCCTATCATTTATATCCGTGTGCTTAATTATTTCGACTGAGAAAAGGGGTGGTGAACTTGGAACTCGGTTTTTGCCTTGTGTTGATTTGTAGCCCTTGAAACTTTTTGAGCTTTGCTTAATGCCTAAATCCTGGAGGAAAATGGTTTTGTTGAACCCCAAACTTTGTCTTTTAGAAATTTTATCTATCCGAAAACCTTAGAGATTTTGGACCATGGAATTGAGAACTTTTTGACTGCACCTTGACCCCAACACCGACCCTGACTGGGTGTAGCCACGCGAAGTGGTGGTCGAGCACGCAAGCCGTGCTGAGAGACGTGAGGCTACCGGCCGGGGCCGATCGTTGACTCGTACGTGAGCTGCAGCCCCCATCACCGAACGCACAAACTCCCCAGGATAGTGTGTACGGTTTTCAACCCTTGACTTTGAAGCTTTCTTCTAAACCTTGAACCGAGAGTTCCAAACTTCGCTGAACCGTTATGGGGTTTCCCTAGATCAATATATTTCGACAGGTGGGA